TGTGAGACCTCATGTGCAGTGCTCTGGCATGGCTTTTGGGTGGGTGACGCCTGGGGCCAGCCTAATCTGCTTGTAACATCAACGGATTGCCGGATTCCCCGCTTCGCTTGCGACGGTAATGCCGTAGGAGTCGCGGATTAAAATCTTCTATCTCCGTGTTTGTCTGCACACTTAAAACCCCCTCCTGAGACGAGATGTCCCAACCAGTCAACAGCAACATCCCTGCCAAAAGCCAGGGATGAGGTCAGACACCACTGAGAGCTGACCCTCATCGCAGCACGATGGATTGCGCCCCTGCAAACCTGATTAAATCCATGATTCTTGCTCCCAAAGTCTTTGATTATCCCTCAGCACTAAATGGGAAAATGTTGGGACGAGTGCCATATTTGCAGACTGGTTTTTCCCTCCTGTCAGTATCAAAGTTACAGGATGAGCGAGCAGTGCATTGATTATTGAATTATTTAATGATTCCTCGTTCCTCTCTGCCTTTGCTTCAGAAAGCTTTTGTGTGTAGCACCTTACTTTGGCTGACAGCTGATGCCTGATGTGCTACAAGAAATTGGGAGCAGAATCTTATTTATTTATGAAACAAGAAAATTATTAGGGTTGCTGACTACCAGCATGTGTGTTTCTCACACTACAATTTGTTGTTAAGTAGAAATTCAAGCTTTTTCTTCCTTTCACACCTTTTCTTGATGCGAGTGCAACTCTGCAGCTAAAGAGAAGTGCAAAGAACAGAGATGATCCATCCTAATTCTCCCTTGGGTGGCACAGTTGTAGATCCAGGACAAGGTCTATTAAAGTGAGCAGGGTACACCCATGTAATTGAGAGCTGAATTGCATCAGATAGGTGATATCTAGAGGTGATGATACGTGTTTTTAGTAGAGCATAGACATTATGCTGCCCAAAGGATTCAGGTAGCTGTTGGAAGGCTGCACTGGCATAATACGCTGCAATGCACCAGTACATTTAGATTTCAGTCTGCTCTCCAAATGACACTGAAATGGGGGAATGCCTATGTTTGCACTCATGTCTGTATGCACTCAGGATCTTCTGCTTCAAAGATCAGCAATAAGGAAGTGAAAGACCCAGCTTGGATCTAACTCTCTGGAGGCCTGGGTATGTGATTGGACCTGTTTCCAAAACAAAAACAACAACAGAAAAGCTTCGTTAACAGCTTGTTTTACATCAGTTGTCAGGGGTATGGTCCACACAGTGCACTGACAGCTGTGCAGGGTATCATCTTTCCTGTTTTAGAAAAAGTAAGTTTAGTGCTGCAGGGAGTAATCAGCAGAGCACTGCTGACCTGAGTCCACAGACAGAGTCTGATAACCAGTAATTTTCCATATCCTTCAGCTATTTACCTGAGTATCAGCCCTTTGGGATTCTCAGCATCCATGATACAAGTAGGAGCAACCATGGCTAGTTTGGGACACCTATACCATAGACTTCTACCTCCAAACTGTCCTCTTGACACACCCCTTTAGATCAGTGTCATCTGACCTAGTTTAATGACCTGCCTCATGCAGAAGTGACCATGGAAGTGCCCCTTTCTTGAATGGAATGGAACAGAACAGAATAGAATAGAATAGAATAATTTCAGTTGGAAGGGACCTACAGTGCTCTTCTAGCAAAGATCTGGATGTCCTTCTCAGAGGTGGACACATGCACTGGGTTAGTTGGGTCCCACTTGACCTGTTTCACTGAATAACTCAGCTTTTCAGTGATAGCTGCAGAATAACTGGTTCAAGAACACCCTCCTCAGCCCTGGCAGTGTCTGATGCACGTTCTTTGGGTCTGATAAACAGGCTGGGGCAAAGAAACCCAAGCTTTCATTAAATTAGGTGGTTCGCCTGCTCTGATGTCCACACCACCACAGTAGGACTTACTGGGAGCTCCGGTCTGAGCAGCAGCATAAACCTATCACCTGGGTCAATCAGTTCCTTAGGATAAGCATTTACCCCTTACTCTGTGCGTGCACAAAGTGTGTCACAGCAGGACCTTGGTCTCAGCTGTGCCTGCTGCTGCAGAGGTATAGTAAATCATCAGATCAGGGTCCAGCATGGCTCTTCGGGCTCATACTTCTATCTCTGCAGTGAACAGTCTAATGTTACCCCGGGGAGCTGTAATCTAAACCGGATGGCAGTGCTGACGGGCTGCCAGCCAGCTCAAGGTTTGTTTTCCTCCATCATGTCCCTCCCCTTATTGTCCTAAGTGTGTTTATTTGTTTCCCACATAAGGCACAGCACGTTCCCTTAGAAAAAGCATGCTGATAGGAGGCTTCATGCTGTTGCTCTGCCACTTTATGCATACAGAAGGGAGGCTGGTTTCCAAGGTGGGTCATCCCTTCGGAGAGATGGGATTTCCCATTTCCAGGAGCCAGCATGCTCGGGCCATTCAGGCAGCACTGCAAATGTCAAGTGCCTGTGGCTATCTAACAAGTCCTCAGTAAACCTCCTGCTGGCAGAGGAACAATGAGAAAAATAGACAGTAGAAATGTGTGGAATTATAGACCTTCAGCAGCTGCAATGTCAGGGAAAAAATAATCACACTCATGTAATAGGACTGCAGAGACTGGATTCAGCCCTCTGGGATGGTGGGTTGGAACTGGATGATCTTTAAGGTCCCTTCCAACCCAAACAATTCTGTGATTCTATGATTCCATCTCTACTTGGCTCCAAAGGTAACGTAGGGCAAATTGTTCCACTCCTGTGCTCCTTAGTTTACTCTTTGGCAGCGTACGGACACACAGCTTCAGGAATATGGTACAGGGTACAGCTGAGCAATGATTGTAATGTCTGCTCGAGTGTAGAGTGAGATAAATGTTTAGGCTGCTCTTTCTCAGATCTGCTGCTCCCACCCAGCTCCAGTTACCATGGTGTGGCAGTGAGAAAAGGTGCTGATGAGCAAAGAGCATCATTTATTCAGGCCTTCCCTCCACACGCATCCTCTCATTAATTATTAGCTTTGATTGGACATCTATCTTGTACTTTCTAGGGGGGTAAAAATGCAGTCGTTGACAGCACAGTGTGTTCAGGTCACACTGGAGGTAGACATCTTCCATGAGACTGCCACATTTGATCTGTGTCTCCTTCTTCCTACATTACTATTGCACTTCATGTACATTTTTGCTAGCTCCTTAGGTGGACTGCAAGCATCAGTCTTATTAACCTCTAACCTGCCTTCTTATCCATGAGATTCTACCTCTTCCTTAAATCACCTGCACAGCTACGAGAATTAGACACATTATTGTTTCAGGGATTTGTAATATGGCTTAAACCTACGAAGTTGTTAATCCATTATCTGCTCTTTGTGCAAGGATTGCCTCACTGTTGCACTGCTGTTCACTGCCGAGCAGAAGTAGAATCATAGAATCACAGAATGGCTGAGGTTGGAAGGGACCTTAAAGACTGTCAAGTTCCAACTCCCCTGCCATGGGCAGGGACACCTTCCACTAGACCAGGTTGCTCCAAGCCTCATCCAGCCTGGCCTTGGACACTTCCAGGGATGGGGCATCCACAGCTTCTCTGGGCAACCTGTCCCAGTGCCTCACCACCCTCTCCAGGAAGAATTTCTTGCTGATGTCCAGTCTCAATCTACCCATTTTCAATTTAAAATTTTCAAAGCAGCTCAGTATGAGTTTGATGTAGGCAACATCAGTGGTGGTCCTTGGTGACTGTGTCCCATCAAGGAGACCTATAAAGCCTTTATTCCTCTAAATAACTTTCCACCAATAACACGTCCTCTGCATCATGGACAAATGATTCAAAATCCTGTGGAATCAAGGCATCAGAAGAGTTTTGCATTAAGACAGTGTTAAATGAGAAGAGCATGGAAAGCTTAGCAGCTGCACCTCTATCTAGTCATGCATCACTCTGGTCTGTACAAATGGTTCAAAATCTCCAAGGAAGAGACTGGGGCCCAGCTAGAGTGGCCTTAAATTCTCTAAATGAGCAGAAAAGCCTTTCCTAGGTGAAAATGTGAAATCCCAAGTGTATCTAAGATGGGACAGGAAAACCCAAATCTGGGGTGACTATAAAATGTCTTGTGCTCTGCTGGTTGGTCCAGCAGTCTCAATTAGCCCATATAAGAACAGCCTCCCCAACACAGAAGGAGAGATTGCAGAAGTGGGTCTGTAGAGCAGCCAGATGTAGAGTCAGTGCAACCTCATTGTCTCCGTGGTCCTCATGCTCAGCACAATTCCATCCAGAGCCCAAGCTCTCCTCTCACCCATGGGCACAGAGGCTGTGCTGCTCTGAACACCTTCCACTCAATTATTTAAAATTCAGTTGCTATGGATCTACTCGAGGCGATCAGTTTAAAGAAAATGCAGATGGCCTCTGGTTTTGAGTTCCCACTGTGCTTTGGTTAATTTGGTATGTAAAGGTATTAGGTTAATTAAATGCCATGTGTTGCATGGGAACTGACTGCATTTGTGGATTAATAAGCACCCGAGTGTGTTCTGTGCTGGAAGTCTTCAAGCTGGCAGACTGCTGTTTCACTAAAAAAGGAAGGTAACGGGGAGGATTCATGGGGAAATGAAGAGGTTTCTTGTGAATCCTGCAGTCGTTGTTCCAGAACGGGTGGTTGCGTTGTCCTTCACGTCTCCGACCAAGTGTCCCCCCTTACCGGAGATACTGGAAGAATTTAAGTGAAGAGAAGCAAAGCTGTTCAGTTTGCTTTGAGACTCCTGCAGCACCAGTTCTATGGAGCACGTGTGCCAGTGGAGGACCATGGCTGGTGTATGGAAGTTTTTCTGCTAGGAGATCTGTACCAAGAGCCATACTGCAAGTCAGGTCAGAGGGTGTCCTGCAAGCAGCCGGCATGGCCGCACCAGGCGTCTAAAGCAAACCGGCCACAGCGCTCTGCCATTCATGGAGGAATAGATGTAGAGAGCAGGGAGAGGGACAAATATCACTGCAAGATTTCGGAGATGTTGAAGAGAAAGAAAGTCGTTTTCGTGCAGCCATGTCCTGAGGTGGTGGAAGATCAGGAGAGAGACCAGGGCAAATGGACGCTACTCCGCAACGTCAACCAGGCCCTGAAGCCCACCACCATTTTAGCGGTAAGACAGGGCGTCCCAAGAGCTGAGTTTTGGGAGTTTTCAGGCTATTTTGAAATCGGTCTTGCTGTTTGATGGGATTCTCCTACTGCATGTGCCAGCTTTTCTCACCTTCCTCACGCATCTCTGTTCTCCCCCAAGCTCTGTAGCTCTCCTTTGGGTCAGCCTTCTTGCTCTTACACTTGGAAACCCCTCCTAAAGATCCACTTCATTAATTGTGCTGACCTGCGTGTGCACCCATTGTGGTGTTTCCTCCTCTTGCCCTGCTGTTGAGTTGGCACTCCCCATAGCTTGTGGTCCTGAGGGTCTGCCCCAAAGCATTGGGAAGGGCACTAGCACCCAACAGCCTCATTGAGGAGGAAGAGTTGGACCATGTAGATATCGTGAAGTGACTGGTGGTATTCTCACTTCTCCAGTACTCTGTCATGTGTATTGGAAAACAAACTGCATCAGTCCAGGCATGAAGAAGGTTATGCAACTTATAAGCCAGTCCACCCAAGCTGGTAAATGCATGAATCACCCTGATTTGCCCTGAAATATCCAATATATCTGCTGCTTTTTGGGCTGATCTGCAGGTGATTGCATCAGTGGAAGGAGTGTAACTGACATCCACGGGGTTTTTATCGAATTGATTAAAGTCAGGGAAGGAAATAGGTCGACACTCTTAATGAGTGATGCTATTTTTTAACCCCCCAGACCTTTCTGAGCTTACCAGCTTAGCCCATCCCATAAGACTTGGCGGTTTGGTGGTTTGTTTTTTTTTTTTATCAGCATTAAGAAGTGCACTTTAATGTGTTTAGAAAGAGCATTTTGAGGGGAGTGTGCTCTCTGCATTAGGCAGGCAAAGCACAGGAGTTATCTTAGTGGTAGTACAGTTTACTTGGGGGAGAGCAGGCTGCCTTTTTATTTCAGCTGTATGGAAACAGAATAAATGAACCAGGCTACGTTTACAGCTTTTCAAATTAAAGACTTCTAAAAAAACAGCATTATAACTTTTGTTTCCTTGATCAAGAGTAATTTTTAAGCAGCTGATGAGGACTTTCTGCTGAGCTCCCCCAGCTTTTCTCTTGCTGACACCATGATCAGGTTACCCACCCTGTGCATGAATTTGCCCAGCTATGCATTGAGGATAACAGTACTGAACACTCTGAAATGCTTTGAGAGTCTTGGATCAAAGGAGCTAAGAAATAAATATTAATATAAGTGGATTTATAATGTATCTGTGTATGACTTACTGCATTCATTAGTTGGGTTTTTTTGCCTTTTTAACTGAGTTACGGGATGTGAGGGTAAGGCAGTTAATGAGAAAAAGATCTGAATGTTATATTTTTTATGAGCTGGGTGAAGATACTTATAACAGTGCTGTAGCACAACACTGAGGAAAAGAAAACCCAAACTCAGGGCTGGATACTCAGCTCCATGTAAGCACGTTGATATCCTAGGTGAAACCTAGCAAGCAGCTGCCAAGGATGGAGTCTACCACAAAATGGCTGGAGACTCCTCATGTGCAGTGTTTCTCTGTGGGTGGGTCCCTGGGGATAGCCTCACATCCCTGTGGCACTCACGGGTTGGTATCTCCCAGAAGTCCTGGTGAGCAGTGACTTGGATGGTGAACGTTTCGCCATGTTTTATATGGCTGGATGTCTCCACCGCCCAGAGTGCAGCTGAAGGTTGTTCATCAGCTCATTGGGTCAAAACAATCTATAAATACTCTGTCCACAGAAATGGTTTATAGTGGATGCTCAGGAAATGGGTTATATCAGAGAACATGAAAAATGATCCTGCCTATTTCTCACTTTCCCTTCTCCCAGCAGTTTTTCAGGACTGCAAAAGGTAGATATTACGTTTGCATTGTGATTAATATAGAAACAAGTTGAGCTGGCCCACAGGAATATGGCATTAGGTAGGGTTATGAGTTCACAGTATTAAGCTCAGATGCATGAAAAAGTATGTTTGGTTGTTTAATGTAAACATGCCTGAAAATAACTGAATCAGGTTAGCACCTCTTCACATTGAGATTAGAGTTGGGAAATAATTCTGCCTTGTTTCAAAGAGTGTGTGTCCCACTTGAGAGTTCAGTTTTGGGTCATTTGATGGTTTGCTTTTGTATTAAAGAAAACAGTTTATTTAAAATCCTTTTTGCATTTGAGTAATTTAATATCCGCAGAGCTGATGAGCAGATAGCTCCTGCCCAGCAGGACTGAGAAGAGGTCCTTAGGATCACCAGTGACATGGAGTGGGTGGATAGGGGTCAACCGGTTGCTGTGTTTTCAGAAACGAAAACAAAGAGGTCTCAAATGAAAGAGGTGACACATTGGAAGTATGCAAAAGGACACAGGTTTTCATGCTTGTGGTATGTTGACCTGGCTGGAGGGCAGGTGCCCACCAAAGCTGCTCCATCACTGCCCTCCCCAGCTGGGCAGGGGACAGAAAATATAAGTAAAGGCTCCTGGGTGGAGATAAGGACAGGGAGAGATCACTCACCAGTTACTGTCACAGGCAAAACAGACTCAACCTGGGGAAGTTGGTTTGGTTTATTAATAATCGAATCAGAATAGGAAAATGAGAAATAAACCCAAATATCTTCCCCCCACCCCTCCCTTCTTCCTGGGCTCAGCTTTGCTCCCCATCATTCTCCCTCCTCTCCCCGAGCTGCGCAGGGGGATAGGGAATGGGGCTGTGGTCAGTCCATCACACACTGTCTCTGCCGCTCCTTCCTTCTCAGGGCAGGATACTCACACTCTGCCCCTGCTCCAGCGTGGGGTCCCTCCCACGGCAGACGGTCCTCCACCAACTTCTCCAACCTGAGTCCTTCCCACGGGCTGCAGTTCTTCACAAACTGCTCCGGCGTGGGTCCCCCCACGGGGTGCCGTCCTTCAGGAGCAGCTGCTCCAGCCTGGGTCCCCCGGGGTCACAAGTCCTGCCAGCAAACCTGCTCCAGCCTGGGCTCCTCTCCCCACGGGCCACAGCTCCTGCCAGGAGCCTGCTCCAGCGTGGGCTGCTCATGGGGTCACAGTCTCCTGTGGGCATCCCCCTGCTCCAGCGTGGGGTCCTCCCCGGGCTGCAGGGGGGTCTGTGCCCCTCTGTGACCCTCCATGGCTGCAGGGCACAGCCTGGCTCACCACGGGCTGCACCACGGGCTGCCAGGGAATCTCTGACCTGGGGGTCTGCAGAGCTCTTTCTCTCACATCTCACTCTCTTTCCCCAGCTGTAGTTGTTCTTCCCCATTTTTTTTCCCTTCTTAACTATGTTCTCCCAGAGGTGCTACCACCGTCACTGATGAGCTCAACCTTGGCCATCAGTGGGTCCGACTTGGAGCCAGCTGGCATTGGCTCCATCAGACACAGGGGAAGCTTCTAGCAGCTTCTCACAGCAGCCACCCCTGTAGGCCCTCAGCTACCAAAACCTTGCCAGGCAACGCCGGTTCAATATTATTTGTAGATAAACTCTTCCTTTGAGATTATGGGTGCTAAAACTTTGCACTGCTTCAGGAAGTAACTGAATGTGCTCAGTATAGATAAAATCCACTGAGAAGTATTAAATGCAAAGAATCCACCTACAAATTTCTGTATGTGGGAGACATCCTGAAGAATTATATATATCTACGCCTCTGGTATGTTCTTAACCCTTCTTCAGTCATCCCCTTTTCACCAGTCTCCGAGGTAGGGGAATATATATTCCATAGTGGTAATCTGCAACGAAATATGGGCCACAGCCCTCCAGACAAGGTTTTCCAGAGCTCAAAGTTCCTAAGTGTGACTTTCTAGGCTCATACATCGCACAGGGGGAAACCTCTACCTGGGTGGGTTTTTCTGCCTGTATCACTGCTCTGTAGTCTGATTGCTGGATCTGATTGTGACCGACAACCACCCATGAGCTTATGAAATGGTGATTTCAGTGGGTGTATGCTGTCTGGAGCATTCCCTACTGCTACTGCCTTGCAGGGGGGTTCCTGAGCATCTGTGAAAAAGGGATGCTTTGTAGCTGACAAAGAAGTAATTTGACTTGTACCAATTATTTGGGTCCAAAATATCAGCATTTTGTATCCCAGGGGTTGCGGAACCTTGTGCAGCTCTGGGTGTAACTGTCCTCTGTTTGGTTCCAGGGGGATTATGTGTGGATGGACCTCAAAACCGGACGGGAATTCGATGTCCCCATTGGAGCGGTGGTTAAACTGTGTGACTCTGGACAGATCCAGGTTGTGGATGATGAAGGCAATGTACGTACAAAGGGTTGTGATGGCCCTTCTTCAGCTCTATGGTCTGGCTAGGCTGGGGGTCATAGGGTTATGATGATCGACCTTGTCATGGATGTCAGTATGTCCTTGGGAATAAACTGTGCCATATTTTCCTATTTGTAAAGACAAGATAATGTTTTGTCCTTACTTTTGTGGCTGTGTGAGGAGTGAAAGGTTGAGAAGCTTCTTGAGTACAATGATAACAGATGGAACAAATTCTATCAGGAAAACAGTTTATCAGGAAGAAGTTCTTCCCGCAGAGGGTGTTGAGGCACTGGGACAGGTTGCCCAGAGAAGCTGTGGATGCCCCATCCCTGGAAGTGTCCAAGGCCAGGCTGGATGAGGCTTGGAGCAACCTGGTCTAGTGGAAGGTGTCTCTGCCCATGGCAGGGGGGTTGGAATTAGATGATCTTTAAGGTCCCTTCCCACCCAAACCACTCTGGGATTCTGTGATAACAGAAGCTTCCAAAGTACATTTAGAGAATGGTTTGAGCAATCCTACCTCACCCTGCTGTTCTTCTGCTTTTATCCAGTCCCTCCTGACCTCCTACCAATACAGGATATGCTCAAACACTGGTTTTCTCACCTCTATTTGTGTGCAGTAGTGGCTGTTTTAGAGCCACTACTATATAGCCAACAGCTATATCACAAGCAGAAGGTGATCTGAGGAGGTTCTCTTTCCTTTATAATATTTTCCCAGCATGTGATAATTGTAAATGCTTTCATTCCCATATGTGATTGTAGAAAGAAATTTGTTTCAGCAGGGTCCTTGTGTCCAGTTTGTAGAGGCTTTTGAAGCCCTTTAGAAGTGACCAAATGAAACAACTAAAATTCTGATTTTGCCACCTCTGTGCATTCCTCTTCCCTTTTCTAAATTATCTTTTTTCTGCTCAACAGTATTTTGTGTCAGAGAGTTAACCAGTGATCTGAAAATGTAGTTGTGTGAAGCCAAGAACAAACCTGCTATTTGTTAAAAACATCCCTGATGTGCTGGGTGTCCATGCTTCCCTGCTGCCCTGGATGATGTTTCTGCCAAGATGGCTTGTATCTCATGTCTCGCTGCTCCAGCAAACCAAAACATGTTTTCCTTCTTCTGCTAGGAATCTTTCAAATTAGTCACTGCCATGTCCCAGGAATAGAAGCTGTGGCCCATGTCCTCTCACATGTATCTTCTTCCATCTGATCTTTCTGTCTGGGGCACGCTGTTTCTGTCTCATGCCAGTGGTATCTAATTTAACTTATCTTTCTCTGTCCTCACTTTCTTCCCAGGAGCACTGGATTTCCCCTCAGAATGCCAGCCACATCAAACCCATGCACCCCACCTCCATCCATGGCGTGGAGGACATGATCCGCCTGGGGGACCTGAACGAGGCAGGAATCCTCAGGAACTTGCTGATCCGCTATCGGGAGCACCTCATCTATGTAAGTGTCCTCCCCCCTTCCACCTCTTGCTCTGGACTGCACCCCAGGCTCCTCTTAGCTCTAGGGAACCCACATGTGGGCAACCCTGACTAAACTCAGCATCTGGATTTCTGTCTTCACCTGGGTCCAAGTGGGGGAGGGAATATACACTGTAGAGGACATATTGCAGACCTTATGGATGACCCAGTGGAAGATCCCATGACTTAGTTAATGGTGAAAGTCTGTGCCACCTCCCTGTGTAGCCCCTGTAAAATTTTGGGGGACATGCATTAACTTTCTGCACACCCAATAAGCAGTGCAACCCAAACCACGTGCATGATGCAGTAATCTTAAAACAAAAGCCTTCGGCAGCTATATGCTGGATGTGTCCCTTCTGCTTCTCCCCCTGAACCATTAACTTATTCAACCCAATTGAAGACAATTTCTGGAGATGCAAGGGGTGCAGGAAGGGTGAGGCAATGCATGCATGAAATAACTGGGAGCAACAAAGTGAAAAACTCCCAGAACAGCTCTAAAATACCTCTCTCATCTGTTTTTATGACCTAAGATTTGGGTTAAGCTTTGGGTTGCCTGGGACCTGACAGGTCTGAGGACAGCAGTGTCCTTCCTTAGGTGAACTCAGTCACATGATGCCCAGTGGACCCAGTGCCAGTCCAACCAGCCATTCAGAAATTGAGGGTTTTACAAGGGGCCCACCAGAACTGCATCTTTTTTCTACAACAGCATCGCAAAGGCCACCTCCCCAGCAGGACAAGAGTCAGCATTCAAGCCCCTCTGCTGGTTTTATCAGTGTGCTGTATGCTATGCAGTCTGGTGCGCTTTTTTGGGGGGCAGAAGTGAGGATGTGTGTGTGTTTGCCACTAGCTAACGTACTTAAACAGCATATCAAATATGGAAAATTTGGTATCACTCTCAAATCCTACAGTTTTCAGGTACTCAGGTAAGTGCCTGCTGTGCCTTTGAAGGCCTTTTCAAAGCCACCTGGGTGGCCATTTTTAAAAGGCTCTGGAGTCTACTAGATTTCCAGGCAAGAGGGAATCGCAGTACAGTCTGACTTCCTAGATAACATAAGCGAGCAGACCACATCCAGGATTTTATCTATCAAGTCTGCTTGTTCTGCTTGATATCCAGTGCCTTTTGAAAGGATGGCTTTGGATGAGAGCTGGGCAGTGATGGAGAGCACACCACTCCGTTGCCTAACCTGTTCATACAGCTGACAGCTCCCTGACCCCAGCTCTGGAAGATATTAATCTCTTCTTTGAGAGATGGATTTCAATTCTAGAGGAAGGGGATATGGCTGCTGAAAAGGCACCTGTAATTCCCTAAAGCTCAGAGGAATATAGAGACCCCTCCAAAAAATTCATGTCTCAGTAAGGAACCTTACTTGTTGTGCATGATATCCAGGTCCCCTGTGTTTTCAGTTTAGAGAAAAAGGCATGACCATAAAAAGATTCACACATTAGATGACTTGAGTAACTCCCTGGAGCTCTCTTAAGGGAGCTGCAGCCATTTATAATGACAAACTAGCAGAAGTTATCAGGCCAAATTCACATGGGAGGTGGTGTCTCCGTGTGCACTAAGCACCTGTGTCAGTCACCAGAGATATCAACAGACCCATCAGTGCCAAGACAGCCTTTCGAACATAGGTGCCTGTCAGATGAGGTGATTGCTTTAGGGCTGGCTGGAGCTTGGGTGTCGTAGAAGAGTTTATGTTGGAACAAAAGTTCAGGTTGGAGGTCTACAGTGCAACCTCCTCCAGCTCAGAGCATGTCCATCTTCATGGTTAAATGCAATACTCGTGGGGATAACTAAATTTAGTCAACCTGAATGCCACCTGAGGAGTACAGTTGGCCAATAATTTGTAGCTGATTGGCTCCTTCAGGGAACATGTGTGTCTTCATTAGGCATTGCCCCTTCTCCTCCTGCTTGTGGCCAACCCACAGTGGTACCAAGTGTATTCCAACAGCCCTCTCTTGGTCTCTGAGAAAAGTGGGATCACGTTAGATAATTTTTCAGTGGTGTCCACATGTCTCTCCTGGGGTCTTTGTTGTCATCAGGCAAGAACCTGTCGCCTCACTAAGTGAACAGAGATCCTCAGATATGATTTCATGTGTGCAATATCAGATTACCTGTGAATACACCCAGCTGCTTCACAAAAGCTCTGCCTCCGAGCTCTCTCACCAAGCTATTCACAGGCATCCAGGGAGATTATGAATGCAAATGAGCACTGGGCAGAGAGTTGTTTGGCAGCGTCATACTAATAAGGGCTAATGCAAAGGGCAGTGGCTAACCTGGAGGTGAGCGTGGGCTGAAGTGACTCAGTAACAATGTGGCTTCCCTGCGAGTCCTTTGGGTCTGATGGTGACAGAGCCACGTGTCCTACAAAGCTGCTACATAAAGGGTGGCCACATCCCAGAAAGGGATTTGCATCACAGAGGTTCCAGGTTACTGTGCCTTGGTTGCTCCACATTATTAATGGCTTTAGAGTGCTACGATCCTGGGCACAACACAGCAATTAGTGCAATCTCTAAATCAAAATTACATTTTCAAAATGACATAGAGTGCACAGCTTGATAGAGAGGAACATAAAACATGCCTGTCAATATGTGTGTTGTTGGAGGCTCAGGAACCCAACTTCAAATCTCATCTTTTAAGAGTGGTGGCACTAGGAGGAATAAATTTATGTCAAATGTGGTAAATATTGATGGCAGTTTTGCAAAGCCAAGGTACCACATGGATGCCACATAGGTAGGGGATACCCAGTTGCCTGAGGTCGTTTTTTCTGGGCTATAGTTTGCTCTGTATTAAAGACGGTGAACCTCAGTGTGACTTTACCTTCATCGTTTGAAAGGATTTCTGAGCCTGCTGAGTAAAGGGTAACATTTCCAATAGGACTTCAGTCTCTCTTGTTTCCTCATCTCCTTAGCTTTGTGGGTGGTGTAATTCCACTCTAATAAAATTTAATTTTCCTTTTTGTCCTCCCTCATATTTTACCCGTAAGACAAACTGCGGCGGGAGGGTGAGTATGACTCTTGGCGCTGTCATTTGCAATCGCTGTCATGCCTTCCACTGGATCACTTGCTTCTGTTCACCATCGTGGCATTTTCATTCACTGTGCATCACCATTGCTGCTGCCTCACAAATGCACTGCGAGCATCATCCCCTTTGCGGCAGAGGTTAGGCCTCATGGTGAATCTCTGACACCTTCCCAGAGCTGGAAAGTCCCTGGTTTGTGAACATGGTTAAAGCTCTAAGCGCTTCTCAGTAATGACTTCACCTTGAAGGAGGGAAACTTCTGCAGCAAAATGAGAAGGACTTCGACAAGGGCTTGTTGCCTAGGGCTTGGCTTGCATGCACTAAGAGAAACTACGCTGAATAGCAAGAACGTCTGGGGGGAGTTTGTGCTAGTAAGGTTAAATCTCTTTGTTGGGAGACGAAAGCATTGCCTGCTGTGGCAATTCAAGGGTTGCCAAAACACAGTGATGTTTGGTAGAGCTTTAACCCCGTAAAAATCCAGATGAAGTCAGCCATAGTGTTCTGGGTAGTGAGGGAAGCAGGCTCAGAAAGGATTTCTTTGAGGCTAATTAAAATGTAGGTCATGCAGGCAGTAATGAATTTGCACTGAGATGTGGTTCCTGTGGTCAGCTAGAGCCGAGCCTCTGCCTATTGGTAAGGCTTTATTTTCCCAAGACAGGAGGGCTTTGCCTTCATCCAGCAATAGAAACCAGAGAGATAGTATTTCCTTGGAGGTGCCCTTTGGCCTCTCATCAGCAAACTGGACAAAGTTTGGCATGCCATCACCTGTGAGAACTGGGCAAATTGGGAGTATTTATCAACTAGGAATGACCTACAAAAACAAGCAATAGTACAAGAGTTCATGCTGACAAAGCGTTTTGTGGATCACAAGGGAAGGGTCAGGGAGAGCATCCAGAAAGATTAACTCCTTGAAAAGTCTCACTGGCTGCCTTTGGGGCAGGGCAGAGCAGTGTGGTTGAAACTCAGGGATTTCAGACCTCTACAGAGGGTCAATCTTTTTGAAAAGAGGCTCAAGGAAGATTAGAAAATTCCCTAAAATTAACTTGGTAATAAACTATGAATAGTAAAACGGTCTTCCAAGTATTTCACCCAGGACTGGAAGGAGACTTGGAGTTCACTGGGCGTCTTGGTGATATAATACCATTCAGAAATTGAGCTCACTCCTTCTCTGAGCACTGAGCTTACCTGCTTAGTCCCTGTGGAAGGCTGTTCTGGGAATTCTCTGCTCCCCTGCCGCCGCCTTCTTTCAATGCCACCTTCTTCTAACATCCACTCTAAGGTATTTCACAGCCAAATTCTACCCTTTGGGTTTGTGAGAACTTTGTTCTTGAACTTAAAGAGATTTTTTGCCCTTACTGGCACGTAACCCCCTATTACAGAGAAGACTATTGTATCCTTTCTCAGTTACTACCGTAAATTCAAACTTCCCCTGGGACTCACCATAAAGTTGCTCTCTGCTGTTGGCCGTGAGGCTGGAAAGGATTTTCAGCATCCCTGCTATTAGGACACAACTGCCACCTACTGGCTGCCTTTCAGAAAGCCTGAGTTTGTGGGAAGAGTGGTGCAGATGTTGGCAAACCAACCATCATCCCACTACACTCAAGCCCTTTCCACCTTGACTGGTGGGACAGGCAGGGACACCTTCCACTATACCAGGGTGCTCCTACACTCA